TGTGATCATGAAGAGACTTCTATGCTTTTTGGATTTTTCAACCATCTACATCAATAAAGTTAGATTTATATGCTTAATGAAATGAATTATAGCATAATATTGCTGCAAAGTGAAGTTTGATAAAATTATCTATACTTTCCGATATTTTATTCATGGTATTATAATATTTTGGAGGAGAAGAAAGAGGTGTTTGGAAAAAAATATAATCATCAAATAGAATTCATCGACATTCAACTAGATAGTCGATAACCTTCATTGGAGAGAACTTCAATGCGAAACTATGAATCTTGGTCTAGGATATCCTACTTGGGAGATGAAAAAGATTTGATAGCATAGACACACTTTAATAAGCATCAATATTGCTTTAAGATTTTATATACAGTCCTATCTAATCTCTATAGATAAAAAGGTAGTGAAGGCAAAAAGAAACACCTGGAAAGATTTCCTTGTAATATCTTTCTTCGTTTATATCCTGAATAGCAATTGCAAGATATTAGACTAGTCTTCTGTATTTCAGTTTCGCCGAGTATATAGGCTACAGAAAATATTTGAATTATTTCTAACGGCTGAATTCTAATGGGAAAGAGACGTGTTAATGAATATAATTTAGAATAGCTCAAATGAAAATGATACTCTAGAGATTTATAAAAGTAATTATTATTATCAAAACTCGAAGAATCATAAAATGTTATCAAACACGATGTGTCACACTCTTAATAATTTTCGCTGAGTATACTGATGGTATAACGAAAACGATTCGTCTTTTTTGGCGAATTTTTATTTCTTGATACACTTCATCTTAAAGAGCAATGCAACAAAAACTGCGATGCACTTACGAATTCAAATGAAAAATAGCTAGGTAGAATTGTTTCGTGCTCGATTGCTTATCACCTGTTTTACGTGTGGATGCAGTGAAAATAAAACGATATGATTTTTTTTCAACCTTTATCTATTAACCTGTTATAAGGATCATTTTCTTTTTCCATAAAACAAAACAAACCGAGTCAGATTGCCTATTGCTTTTCTTCTCTTGTTGCCATTTTATTTTGAAAAAAATGCATATTTGTTTTTGTTCTATTGTCAATTCACATATTTTTCGTGATCTGACAGAGCAGGAGTATAGCCTTTTTTTGTAAAATTGGAACTTGTGTAATGTCTGATTGATTGAGAGCGTATAGATGTACATAAAAAGTCGAGCACAATCAAAACCTACGTCATTCCTTATGTTTGGAGCCGCTTGATACCACGTGAAATATTTTTCGTCATATTGATTTATTCTTGCTTCATTATTATCATTTATGCTGAATCGAGCAGCCCATTCTTCGTCCGTATCAGTGATCTTAAATCGCTTGTGTGTGTGTGTGTGTGCATCACCTACAACAAAAAAAAATTCACACCACACACTCACATCCACACCCCAAAATGAATTGAAAATCGTCTATTCGGATTCAATTTGATTTATATCTTCTAAATATTCAGTCAATTCGATTCGGCATTTTTTCAACAATGTTCCATTCTATTCGACTCGAATCGCCTTAAACTCACCGCAAACATCGTGTTCATTTCGCGTGTGCTACATACTTTCTCAGAGTTCTAATATTTTCCTGAGCAACTTATTTTACTCTTTTGTCATTCCACCCTAAAAATCTTTTCAAGATTTGATATCTTCATATTTATTGAAATTTCACTTAATTTTCTAACAGAGAAAAAGAATGACAATAGCTTCTATAAAGTAAAATGAACATTAAAACTTTAATGTTAATGACCAAGGAATTAAGAACCACGAATGGCGCTTGAATTATTGAAATATGAGTGAATCGCATCTTCTACTGTTAGAAAAACAAAACTTGATCGCAACGAAAATCAGCCACAATGAATTCTAACATATTTAAGCTGAAATATCGTTTTAACTGATAAATCCTCAATAATTAAATGAATTTCGAAAAACATGAATTCTCAATGTCTATAACATTCCATCGAAGCTAGTTTCATCTATACTACAGTAGTATATTATATTTTCTAAATGAGACATTGAACTTGAATGACTTATTTTTCAAAAAATCTTTGATTACGATTAATATTCTTACTAGAATGGGATTCAACTAGGTTTCTTTTCGTTTCTCTATGGTCATTGTTTGCTTTCATAGATATCTTATTCTGTTATTCTGTCACTTTAAGAAAGGAAAGTAAAAATAGACTGATATTGATGATAAGTCCGTATCACACTACGATCACTGAAAAACTGATCCATATTAAATATTTCTTTTCAATTCAGTTTAGAAAAAGAGAAGAAAAACAAGAAAAAGGGGTAGAGCAGATAGCCGGTTTGATGTGGAATTTCCAAGGTGATATTCAAAGAAAAAATTGGTTTAATTTTTCCTTCAAATTTTATGAAAAAAAATTAGACTTTTTAGAACGTGTGATAAGGACATAATGATCGTACTTTACACATGTCTTAACGTTGTCTATTGAATCTGTACGTATTAAAATTGATTTGAAACAGAAAATATCGGTTAGAATTTATTTCTCTGAAAAAGAAACTTATTACATGATCTCATCATATTTAATATATAGGCCTTTTTTCGTGAGTACTTTAGATATGTTACTAACAGGCAAATATTCAGTGACTTTGAAGGTATTATTGTGTGATAGCGATGAATAATATATATATATTTATTTATTTATTTACTAATTTTATGTTGATAGGAATGTCACCTGGAATGCAAAGATTTCGAAAATATCTAGTCATATATTGCTTCGATTGTTGATGACATGCTATTATAACATTATTTTTTTTTGTGAAACTATTCATCTCAAAAGAGTAATTTAACTAATCAACGAGAACGAATAACGAATGAATCTTAAGAACATAAATGAACAAATCTTATATAAAAATAATTATTATATAATTATAAGTCAAAATTGTTTTGTATTAATTAAATCAATTAAAAGTAGAGACAGCGTTCCATGTTGAAGTGAATACGAGTTAAAAGGAATCTTACAACAAGTTTTGAACTTTAATGTTAAATTGACATAAAGAATTACGATGATATCGGAGATAAAGATGCATGAAATTCTGAATTTCTAGTCAGTTCTTTTTTAAAGATTGACTCTTAGTGAAATAAAGTCAACACTGATACGAATTATGATTATATGCAAAATGTTTCACATCTCCATTTTCTCTTCACTACATATGCGCCAATAGTCATCATCATTATGAAAACATGATAAAATACTGATGCTTATGCACTGAAAACAGTACTTGAGTGAAAAACTTATCTTCATCCTGAAAAATGACACATTGACTGATAGAAAAAGTTGATGATATAATTAAAACGGAATCTGAAATATTGCACAGCAGTACCTGTGTCAATGACAATACTGTTAAAATATAACCAAATCGCTCATTTTTTCAATTTGTGCAGTTTTATATCATAACTGACAGATTAATTACACAAAAATTCATTGGAGTTTTGCAGATGTGCCCACCATGAATCGACAGTACAATGCAATACTCAAATCCAGAGCTATTGCCTTCTTATGCCGTTTTTGAAAACTATTGACAGTGTCATTTAGCCTCTGTAGATTTCTGAAACAGAGACTTTAAATAATCACATGAATCCTATGATTTTGATTCGTTGTTTTTTGCCTTTCAAATGGTAAGCATAAAAATGCAGTCAACATTAACCTTGAAGAAATGTCATGAAAAAAGAATATATAAATAATGCCACATGTGAATTCTTTTCTTGAAAACGAAATTTATGTTCAGCAAATCTTTTATTTTTGTTTCCTTCTGAAAACTGCTGAAGGCAGGAGACAGTGATGTCGACAAACAAAAGAATAAAGTTATGTTACATGAGAAATAATCGGAAAGAAACTTACGTTACGAACAATATTTACATACATGACAACAGTTTTGCTTTCATTTCAAATGTGACTTATTCTCTTCTATTCATAAGCACAACCTATATTATCGAATTGTTGTCTTTTCTCTCATGTTTCACTTTTAAGATTTGACATTTGTCAAAACAGGTTTTTTTGCAATTAGCAAAATTTTGCTTTTTTTCTTTTATTCACGTATATTAAAATCTGTCAAACTATAGACAAAACTGTTACAGTCGAACAGTAATTGTCTACATCCTTCGCCAAAACTTGGATATTATAGATTACTTTTTCCAAAACGAATCACTTACGATGTTTCTGCGCCTTTTTTAGTTCTTTTTTATAATAATAGCTTGAGTTATAAATTAGTAGAGTAATGAAACAGCAAATATCACGGAAATATTTATTTTTATAAAAAGGAAGAAATGCAGAATCATTTATCAGATATTTTTCAGATTGTATCTCTATTGAAGAAAACATATTTCAAGTAGTATCATAAATCAGTGGCATCAATAGTAAACTATATAGAAAATATATCGTATGATTTGAACTCTTCTTTCGCTCAAAAAGTATCTGCTACTACTCAGCGAATCGGTGAAAATAAATGTAAGTCTTCGAAGCCACCAAGATTACGTTCAGTTCAAAATTTTCTTCTTCTTTGGCTGGACAGTACTATCGATGAATTCAATCGAGAACATCAACGTCAGATCACTCAACTGCGAAATATGATCAGTTCAGTTTATACGTTCACCCGTCCCGATGAATGCATCAATTTTATTAGTCGAATCGAAGATGAAAAAATATTTTTGATTGTGCCAGATGCACTCATCCAACCATTTCTTTCCATCATTCGTAATAATCAACATATCGACTCCATCTACATTTATAGTAACCGTGAAACCAATCACGAACAACTAACAAAGCGATGGAACAAAATCAAAGGTCATTTCACTGGAATCGAACTCATATGTAACATACTTAAACAAGATATACGACAATGTGATCATGACTTAACTCCAATAAGTGTTTTATCATCAGATAATTGTCTGAATCCAGACTTGAACGAACTCGATCAATCATTTATGTATTCACAATTGCTAAAAGAGATTCTACTTAAAATGAAATATGATACGAATGCCAAATATAAACTTGTTGATTATTGTTCCCAACTCTACTGTGATAATGAAAGAGAATTAGAAATAGTCAATGAATTTAAAGATAGTTATCATCTTCATACACCTATATGGTGGTACACTCGAGAATGTTTTACTTACCATATGCTTAATCGAGCATTACGCACTCATGATATTAAGATTATCATTAGAATGGGTTTCTTTCTACGAGATCTGCATGAGCAAATTAAAAAAATTTATGAAGAAAATAAAACATTTCGAGATTTATTCATTGTCTATCGTGGTCAAGGTATGTTTGTTAATGAATTTGAGAAATTAAAGGCCAGTAGTGGTGGTCTCTTAGCATTTAATAATTTTCTCTCAACAAGTACGGATCGACAAGTATCGTTAGAGTTCGCTCGTCAAACTCACAATAAAGATGACATGGTAGCTATTCTTTTTCAAATCCAAATCAATCCGATATCTATATCTACCCCATTCGCTCCATTGGATAATATTAGTTATTACAAGGATGAAGAAAAGGAGATTCTGTTTTCAATGCATGCTGTCTTTCGCATTGGTCATATAAAGCAGATCGATAGCAGACTATGGCAGGTAGATCTAATATCAACCACTGATACTGATCGGCAACTTCAAATACTTACCGAATACTTACGTAGTGAGATTGAAGAATCAAATAGTTGGGATCAATTGAGTACATTGATGATAACAATGGGATATTTCGAAAAGGCCGAAGAAATCTGTCAAGCATTGATCGATGCAACGGCAGATGATAGAAAGAATGAACTCGCTCACTACTATCATCAACTTGGTTATATCAAGAGTGCAATGGGTGATCATCAACAGGCACTCGATATTTATCAGAATTCATTAAATATGCAATGTAATTCATCCGAACTAAATCAATTATTGCAAGCTACTATCTACAATAGTATTGGTGTAGAATCCGATAAGATGGGTGACTATTCAACTGCCTTGTCTTTTTATGAGAAAGCATTCGATATTCGAAAATGATGTCTACCATCTGATCATCCTGATTTGGCTGCCATGTATAATAACATTGGTCTCGTTTATAACAAGATGGGTAATAATTCAACTTCTTTGAAATTTCTTCAAAGAACACTTGCAATCCTAGAGAAAACGCTGCCACCAAAATCCTGATTTATCTTCTACTTACAATAATATTGCTTCAGTTTATGAAGACATGACAGAATATTCGACTGCACTGACTTTCTATCAAAAAACACTTGAAATTGAAAAGAAGACACTCACCGAAAATCATCCGGATCTGGCGATAACTTACAATAATATCGCTGGAATATATCACAAACAAGGTCAGGACTCCACAGCATTGTCATTCTATGAAAAATCACTTGCTATCTATGAGAAATCTCTTACTCCTGATCATCCAAGTTTGGCAAATGTGTATAGCAACATTGGTGTCGTACACCGAAATATGTGTCACTTTCAAGAGGCATTTTCGTTTTACGAACGTGCCCTCGATATTGGAAAATGTTGCTTTCCACCGAGTCATCCATTTATGAAGACACTCCAACAGAATCTTGGCATTGTACGAACACATCTCGACAAGATCTAAAACAATAGCTTTCGTAATGTACAGCATTTTTATTATAATCAGTATCTTCAACTCGTTTTCATCATGTTCTTCGTTTCTGTTTGAAATTATCTTTTGAATCTACATACAAATGCCGAAATAATGCAATGAATGACCTTATACATCTTTATTTGCTAAAAAGATATATTTGTAATCATTTTGATGCACTTATATAACTTGAGAAGCGTTCAACTTGTGTTTGTAGGTATGATAAAAATAGTATAATTCCTATTTTTATATCTACGTCAAGATTCTGGCATATCTTCTCAGTAGCTATTAGTGAACAGAACAACTTCGAAAGATTTTATACCATGTGCGAGACTCTGTTCAAAATTCATAATACGCATGAAGTCTTTCTATTCAAGAAAGAAAAGAGTGAAAAAAAAAAATGAATCATCTGATTAGTAGTATGAGACGGCCATGAGTCATTGAAAATTTTCTTAATTTTCTGTTCTGTGTTTGCACTGAATGAATTTTATTTTTACTAATTTTTGTTTTAATTGTCAGTATGAGTTATACTTCTCGATTTGTTTCTTTCTCCGGTATTCGTCATTGGTAAGCAAAAGAAGCCAAATAATGTACCTATCCTTCAAAAAAAGAAAATCCATAGTAACCATCGGGTATATTGCCTATGAACCGGTATGCGCGATACTGGAAAAAGCTTCATTTGAGTAACAGATAAGTAAATTGCCAAATCACTGATGTGGAAATATAAATTATGTTTTAAACTATTTTTACAAAAAATATCGTTACTATTAATATAGCCACTTGTGAGCAGCAAACTCAGCAGACAATTTGCTGTCATTCTAGTTAAAATTTAAAATCTAGTTCTTGTTTTCTTCAATAAATCAAACAGCTATGATCGGACTTGTCATCTATCGAATATTTTTTATTCGAACCTGTTTTTTTGTACAAGTCAATATCTTTATACTGATATAGATTACTGAAAATTGTGCAATAAACAAACTTAAAATGAAGATTTCAGCTTTCATCAGTGATTATTGTTAATTAGAACCATAACTAACATATTCATCTCTGTAGCATTGAAATTGTAGACAATACAAAAAAAACGGCACATAACCAGCTCAAATATCAATATTAAACTAAATTAAAGGAACATAGATACACTTTTGTAAGCCGAATAAACCATAAGATATTCAATCGATTCATTAATCAACTCGAAGCTATGATACGGCGCAAAAGAATGTTGAATAGCTTGTGTTGGCTATATATTATACTTCTTTTTTATCTTTCTATGAATTAGTGAGCAGTTGTATAATTTATTACAATGCACATTTCTGTACTAAGTTATGAGTGAACATTTTGGCGCTCAACGAGCCATTAAGAAATAAGGAACTAATAAAGAAACAGGAAGGTAATTTGAATGTTTTGTAAAATTTAATTTTATCAGTTCATAGAAATCACCATTCCGAAATTGCTTTTATTAGCGAAACTCATTTTTAGAGTGCTATCAGTGGTGCAAAGTTCATTCGAGTGAGTATAGAATATGAATATGCGCATTCTATTTAATATTTGTACCTAATTAGGACTGTAAATAGAATAGCGAGTCCCAATGAATGGAATGGATCAGTCGACAACAGAGGAGTCATCTTCCGTTGTTATCTCATCAATAGCATCATTAGCAAATATACAGATACTATTAACGAAATTAAATAAATTAGTTGAAAGATAAAATAGAAATTAAAAAAAAAAGATACAATATTTCCTTATTAGTTATGCTAGATATATATGCATATATGCAATAAAATCTATGATAATCTTTCATGGACTCCTGATATTTCCTTTTCGTTTTGTCATTGCACTTAAGCTTTCAAAGCTGGTAAATAATGTTAAATTAGCATATTGTATCATGCATTGTTTTTACTGTTGTTAATGTCAATAGAGTTGAACTTGACTTCTTCAAAAAATCATCCTTTTAATCGAAACTATCACATATGCGAAGGTTTTCATTTCAATAAATATAAAAAAAACTAATTAAAAACCCATGTATCGTCATTGTCAAAGAATAACAATCAATGGAAAAATAATTAGTCAAACACTTGTCAAAACCAGTTCTCTTCTCTACCAAACGATTCTTATTATTCGTCATCATCATTCATTTTGTTCCAGAAGTTTTTGAATACAATATTCCAATTCATCACCAATGTCATTTTGAGATAAGTACAATGTGGTGAGTGTCTGTTCATAAAATTTTCAGATGGGTACAAGAAGTAAATCAAAAGAGAATGAGTGTAACTCTATTTATTTGTAATGCTTCGACCAAATATTGTGCTCCTTGATCTTTGAGTTGGTTCCCTATTAAATCCAGTATTTTGAGTGTCTATTTAAAAAATAACAAATTAATATACAAGGGAGATTAGGATAACGAGAGCGACTGTATTGATTCGTAATGCGTCTGCCAGATATTGTGTCCCAAGAGCTTGCAATTGATTCTTTTGGAGATTTAGCATACGGAGCACCTATGTCAAAAATAAGCATGATTTTATCAGATATGTGAAAAGTGATGATCGAACTCACTGTGTTATTTTGTAATGTAACTGCTAGATATTTTGCTCCAAGAATGCCTATTTGATTATAACCAAGATTTAGTGTCCTAAGCGTCTATTTGACATATTGCAGATGATGGTAAGAGATAGATAACCAGAAAATAATAGTCACTCTATTATGTTGTAAGGCCTCACTCAGATATTGTGCACCGAGAACTCCAATATTGTTGTCTTGAAGATCTAGTGTAATGAGCGTCTGTCGAAAAACATGTACATGGGTTTATGAAATATATAGGAAAAGAATAATGATCACTGAGTTAATACACAGTGCATTAGCAAGATGTTGTGCTCCGTCGTCCCCAATTTGGTTCCACTCAAGATAAAGTGTGGTGAGTATCTGTGTTATAAAAGTACAGATGAATATATGAAATAGATAAATTAAAAATGGCAATCACCATGTTATTTTTTAATGCATCAGCCATATATAGTGCTCCAAGGGCACCAATTTTATTGAATCTGAGAGATAGTACTTGGAGTCCCTGCTCGAAAAAGTACAGATGATGATTGAAAATAGATAAATAGAGAATGATGTTCACCGTGTTATATTGTAAGGCATCACTCAGATATTGAGCTCCGAGAGCTTCAATTTTGTTATCTTGAATATTAAGTTTGGTTAGTGTCTGTGTAAAAATATGTAGCTGGGTATATCAGTATAGATGAAGATGTTTGATGATCACTGAGTTATTTCGTAATCCAACAGCCAGATATTGTGCTCCTTCGTCTTCAATTTTATTCAACGATATGTTCAGCGACGTCAGTGTCTGTGTGGAAAACTAGGCATGGTAATATGAGATGTGCGAAGAGAAATTAATATTTACTCGATTATTTTGCAATGCCACAGCCAAATGTCGTGCTCCGATAGCCCCAATACTGTTGCGTCTTAGGTTGAGTGTAGTAAGTATCTATGTGAAATTATAAAGACGACGATATCAGATAGATAAAACAAAGAATGACGATCACTGTGTTATTTTGTAAAGCGTTACTCAGATATTGTGCTCCGAATGCTTGGATCAAGTTGTCTTGGAGATCTAGTGTGGTGAGTTTCTATATGAAAAGTATAGAGGTATGTGTGAAAGAGATGGAGAGAGAAAATGGATTACTGATTGGTTTTGTAATGCAATAACCAGATATTGGACTCCGATGTTACCGATAGCATTTGATTGAAGTTCTAGTGTGGTGAGTGTCTGCTCAAAAAATACGGATGTGAGACTAAAATATATGAAAAGAGAATGATATTTACCATGCTTTTCTGCAATAAATCAGCTAGATGTTGTACTGATTCGTCTTTGAGTAGTTGGGAACTGAGGATGAGTGTAACGATTGTCTTCAGGAAAAAAGTGAAAGTGAACGTGCAAGAGAGTTCATGAGAAAATAAGACTTACTTCATTATTTTGCAGTGCATCAATCAGACCTTTCATTCCAATGCTGAAGAGTTGCTTTCGAGTGACATGAGCAGTAGTAAATGTCTGTGTAAACGATGCACGTAGTAGTATGATATCGATGGATAGGGAATACAGGGAATCGTATTTTCAGATAGTGAATTAAATACTTCAATGGGTGTTCGTAAACCGAAATGAAACGAAGTTAATAAAAGAAGAAAAAAGAAATAGACAACTGTTAAAATATGTCGTAGGTTGCTGTCAACTTCTTTTTTGAAAGATTCAATCGAATTAAAAAGATATTCGAAATATTGAAGTGGAAAGTTTCGGCTTCTAATATCGATATATTCAATACGCTCTGAAAATCTCAATTTAAAATAAGAAAATTTTAATCGTTGTCAGAGTCAAGATTTCTAAATCAAGTGAAGATTTACCAGTGGAAACCTAGTGACT